GCCCCCCCCCCGGAGCTTGCCTGGGCCTGCAGCTTGTGGGTCTGACCCGCCAGCGTCCGCGTCAGCTGGGTGCCCGGGCAGCGGCACGGCCCTGGGCAGGTGGGGCAGCCCCCCCCGGGTGGAGGGGGTGAAGGATGTTGGGGTGATCCCTCCCGGTCTGACGGTCCCGGTGCCGGAGCTGTGAGAAAACACGAGGATGAGGTGATGCACCGGTCCCCCCACCCCACCGTGGGGAAGCTGTGGGTATGGGGGGTCTCGGCTCAACAGCCCCCCCCCCCCCAAAACCAGAGCAGGAGGGCGATGAGCAGGACGGGGAAACCACGGTTCAACCCACCTCCACCCAGCGAGGCCGGCGGGGCCGGGGCCGGGGTCGTGCTGAAAGCCGCCGTCCTGGCCTGCGGGATGCTGAGGGCCATCACCCGGCAGCCGGTGCCCACGGTGCCCACGGCGAGGCTGCGGCTGGGCCGCGGCGGGTCGGCGTACAGGCTCACCTGGGGGCAGGGAGAGGGGGTTTGGGTACCCACCCTGCCCCCCAACCCTGGCATTGCCCACCCGACGTGCCCCTCGGGTGCCCCGTGGGGACAGCAGGCAGGCAGGGGCGAAGGTGGGGGCACGGCGCCGGCGGGGGGCACAGCCGGGCGCCAGCCCTGCCTCAGTTTCCCCACCCGCGCACTGGCGCGGGGCGGGAGGCGGCGAGGGCGACACGGGGACGCGCTTCCGCCCGCTGCCCTGCCATTTCAGCGACGTGCCCTGCAGCCGCCCCCGCCATTTCGGGGCCGTTTCAGCTCAGCCACCTCCCTGGCGCGGAGGGGAGCCTGCCAGGTGGGGGGGGGGGGGGAAGCGACCCCCGGTTTTGGTGTGGGCTCTGCGGTGGCCTCGACCCCCGGTCCCCGGGCTGGGCTTGCTCAACCGCAGCTCCCCGGGAGGAGGAAGAGCACGGGGGGGAGGAAGAGACCCCGAATAACCCCAGGGAGGGGGAAGCAGAGCCGGGAGTCCCCCCTCCTGCCCCCCCGCAGCCATCCCTGCCCTGGCACCCACCCTGGCACCCAGGCGCAGCTGGTCGATGGTGTTCTCGGCCTCGGCGTACTTCGTCAGCAGCTTGTGGTAGTCGTCCTGTGGGGAGGGGGCACTCAGTGGGTGACGGCACCCGGCACGGGGATGGGGGCTCAGAGGATGCCCGAGGGGTGGGTGGCAAAGGGGGATGCAACACGGAGGGAGGCATCCGTGTGTGGGGATGACAGGGCTGGGGGGGGGCTCCCATGGGTGGGGGACACCCCGGGGTGCAGAAACCCCCCCCCCAAAGCACCCGGCCGCTCTAGTGCAGATGTGGCCCCCGTTTCTCTGCGTGGGGGAGAGCCGCCCTCTCCTCCCAGGGGACAGGAGGGCATCGCAGGGGACAAGCGCCCTGGGGGTAAAGAGCACTGGGGGGGGTGTACAAGCGTCCTGGGGGACACACAAGCCTCCCTGCCTCCAGCCCTGAGTGCTGCCCACGTCCCTGCCTGGTCCTTCCCTCCTCGCCAGCCCTCAGGCAGGACTGGGAAGAGGCGACCAGCACCAGTACCCCCATCGGTGACACAGGGCCGGCTCAGGGGACTGGTGACATCTCCATCTCACCTGCACTGCCTGGTCCCCCCACCCTGGAGACCCTCCCAGTAAGGCCTCTCTGGCTGAACTGGGGGAGCTGGGTGTTACCTGGAGCTGTTGCACCAGCTCGGTGGCTTGCTTGGGGGACCTGAACTCCTGCGGCAACCCGGCGGTGGTGGGGGGCTGCGGGGGGACCCCCTCCCCGCTGCTCAGCAGCACCTCCCGGACGATTTCGGCTGGGGACTTGAAGCCGATGGGGCCGCTTGGGGCCCTGGGGTGGGCGGGCAGGGCTCGGCCCCGCGGCGGCCGGTAGCTCTGGTCGAACTTCACCCGCGCCTCCACCTTGGAGAGGTCGGGCAGGGGGTGGTTGAGCCGCCCTCGGCCGTACTGGGTGCCCTCGGCTGTGCCGGCGCCCGTTCCCGAGGGATCCCTCGCCTCCTTGCCGCCCGTGTGCCGCCGACGGGGGCTCAGGGACCGCGACGGCCGGACGGGTTTGGGGGGCAGCACCGTGGGTACCGCTTTCTTGGGCACCTGGGACCCGTCGTGCAGCTGGGGTGCGGGGGGGGTGCCGGCGCCCCAGGGCTCCCCGGTGGGTGCCAAGCCAGCGGTGCCAGGGGCCGGCAGCCCCGTCCTAGCCGGCTGGGGCTCGGGGACGGGCTCGATGCTGGTGGCATCGCAGAGGTCATCATCGGTGGACAGGGGCAGCAGGCGGCTCCGGCTCGGGGTCCAGCCCTGCCCGTGCCCCCCGCCGGCGTCCCCGGCCGTGCCCCAGCCCCGGTGCCGGTGGGATGGGGTGGCGGGGTCAGGGCTGGTGTCCGACAGCCCTGAGGTGTCACCACCGTCCGTGCTGCAGCCTCGGGGCTGGCAGAGAGCCCGGCCATCCCGCGACGCCATGGGGCTGCCGCTGGATCCTGAGCCCCACCGGCCCTCGTAGGAGAGCTCGGGGTAGGGCTCCCCGTCGCTCTCTGCCCCCCAGGGCTCCTCGTCCCCCCTGGAGCTGCCCCGCTCCTCATCCTCCTCCGCCAGGTCCCGCTGCGGGTGCCAGCGACCCTCCTCCGCCGGGGACCCCTCCTCCGGGTCCTCGCCATCGCCTGCAAAACACCAGCGCCGTGGGGCTGCTGCCAGCCAGCCGGTGCCCCCCGGTCCCCTCGTAGCCCCCCTCGGCTCCAGCAGCTCGTGGGACACCCGGGACCCCCCAGTGAGGGTCTTTGGGCAGCGGGGAGGGGACAACTCACCCCACGGTGGGCTCCCGCCATCCTCCCCCAGGCCGATGACCCCATCCTCGTCCATCCGCCTTTCAAAGTCGTCTTCCTCCTCCTCCTCCTCTCCCTCCCAGTGCGTCAGCTCTGTTTGTGTCCAGCGCAGCCATGGTGCCGGGCTGGCCATGGCCCGCGGGCACGGCGTCCCCGTCACTTGTGCCGCTTCATGGCCCAGCGGTGGCGGCAGCAGGCTGGGGACCTCCTTGCCACGAATGTAGGTCACATCGTCGCCACTGCGTCCTGGCGGGGGCCGAGGGAGAGGGAGGGATGCTCAGCAGGACACAGTGGGCTCTGTTTGAGGTGTTCCCCCCGCTGCCAGGGCTTCCCCTGTCCCCCAGACCCCGGGGACAAGAGCAACCCCCCATGACAGGGGGTGACACTATTGGGCCAGCCCCCCACCCTGCATGAAGCCGGAGCTGACGCTTGTCCCATGGCCATGATGGTCCCCAGAGCTCCCCATGGGGATGGAGCCCCCCAGGGCCACCCCAAAAGGCTTTTCCCCCTCTGGGGTGGGCACTGGGGACACCCTGCCCATGCTAGCACCCGCCAGACATCACCCTGGCCAAGCAGCCACAGCCTGGGGACCGTCAGCGGTGCCACCACAGCGCAGGACAGTGCCAGGGGAGGCAGGAGCACCCCGAGGCCCCTCTGGCTCTGGAGGGCTGGCAGCAAGAGGGATCACAGCAGAGGCCTGGCACACTCACTCCATGAATGACCTAAAAGCAGGAGCTCACCCTCGCCCCACTCCTCGGTGTGCCAGGGTTCCCAGAGCCGCAGCGGCAGCTCAAGAGATGCCGGATGCCAAAAACCCAACTGCTGGGCGGGTAGCAAGAAAGGCCACAGGGTTTTCCCGGCAACATGCCCTCGGCTAGATTTGAGCCCCCCGCAACCCAATTTTGGCCATGGGGTGCTGGAGGCGGCAGCTGCCCACGTGCCAATGGCCGGTACTGAGCACCGTGCCGACATCACCAGTGGTCACCCCGCAGAATCCCCAACCCAATGCCAGAGCACGGAGGAGCAACTGACCCCATGCCAGGTACACTCACCCCGTGCCAGCATTGCCGGGACATCCCCATCACCATGACCCCATTGGGGGTCCCCAAAGTAGCATCCCTCTGAGCACCCCAAAACCTTCCTGCCAGGCTTTTGCAGAAGAAGGAACTGATGCTCGGTGCTTCCTGCAAGTTTGCAGGCGGCCGCAAATTTTTTAACCCCATCAGGCCCTGCACGGCAGGGGCTGTACCCTCCTCCTACGTCACTTTTCATCAAAAACTTATTTTTTCATTCTATTCAGAGCAAAATGCTGAAGCACAATGGCAGAGGAGGGGCGGGGGGGTGCCCGGGACCATCAGCAGCTGCAGCTTCCAAAAGAAATCAGGATGAGGGTCTTTCAGGAGGCCGAGCAACCCCAAAATTCAGCCATACAGCCCCAGAATTTGGCCAGGCAGAACCCCCCTTGGAAATCCGGGATATGGGCTTTGCCGGATTTGGAAATCCTTGATTTCCAAGGGGGGGTTCTGCCTGGCCCCCACCCCGAGATGCTGCTCACAGCCCCAGGGATGCCACAGCCATAACCAGACATCAGGGCGCATCCTGGCACACTTGCAGGCAGGCAATTAATTCAGCTCGTTACTGTGTAATTAGTGGCACGCGGAGGAGAGCTCGTATGAGCTCCCAGCTGCTAACGAAACCACAGCATGGTCCCTGGGGTGGGTGTATTTAGCTGGAGGGTGCTGTGGTGATTTCGGGGTGCTGCTGGCTTGGGGATGGTGGTGATGAGCAACAAAGCTATGGCATCCACATGCTCCAGGAAAAGTCCTGTAACCCACTCCGAAGTCTCAGATCTGCAAATTCCCTGGTTTAAATCCTGCTGTTAATGGGGTTTTGGGGGTTATTTTCTGGTGCCACCCGGCATCAAGGTCCTCGGGCATTGTCCTTGCACCAGCAGCAGCGCACTTCCAGTCCTGCCTGCATCCTTGGGGCTTTATGGGCAGTGAGCAAACCCCAGAGCATCCCTCAGGGTCTTGTAAACCTCCCAGGGAGCTTGCAGGAGGTTTTTCCCTGTACACTTGCTGGGCAACTCCGCTTTCTGCACCTGGAGATGCTCCATAGCTTCTCCTGCCTCCGGGGTGCAGCCACCAGGGAGGATGGGGTTGCCCATGGGATGCTTCAGGCTCTGCGGCTGCTCAGTGCAGCTAAAGAGCGATTTTGGCTTCAGCCCCTCTCTGAGCTGGTATGTTTCCAGCCCTGAGCATTTGCCCACATCCTGGCCTGGAGAAGTGGCACACCAAAGTGCCCCCTGACCCACCTTGAGCCCTGCAGCACCCCCAAGAGATGAGGAGCCCCAAACACCAGCCCTTGGGGGGTCCCAGCGGGCGAGAGTGGGGGTGAAAGGACACTGTGGGTCCTGTTGTCTTGGGGCAAAGAGGGTTAAAATGTGTCCTACCCAGCTTTGGCAGGCTGGAGCTCGGATCATGTCTAACCCATACGCCATCGGCTGTCACCCCATTTCTGAGCAGCAGCCCCCCCGGCTGCACTGCCCGCAGCAGCCACAGTCTGCAGGATCTGCTTGCAAATCCAGCCACATTTCTTGCTTTCCCAGAAAGTCCCTCCACCAATGGTCATGGTGGTAAGAGAGAAGAATCTTGGATTTTTTCCCCTTTAAGTGAGTTGCTCGCTGTTATGGTAACACAGAAAAGCTTGAAAAATGATGTGGCTACGTACTCAGGAACCACAAAGCAAATGCAAACAAGCCCAAGTGTGTGTGTGTGTGTGTATTTTGTTTTTTAATCTTGCTCTTTGAAAGCTGGGATTTTGCAACAGGGTAATCAGAGAAAGAGCTAAAAAGAAATTTAGAAGCCTCAGCTAGAAAATGTCTTGTACCCCTGAACTCTGCTCTGCCTGAGACCCTCAGCCCCTCTCCTGCCCTCCACCTCTCAGCCAGGGCTGTCCCAAATTGTGCCTCGGGGGTGGAGGTGCTCGGACGAGGGAGGCGATGCTCAGGGCAGTGATGAGTGCTGCCAGGTCTCTGCCTGGCCAGCAGGCAGGAGGGGTTGCCTCTGCCTGGCCCTGCCCTCAGCTCCTAATCAGGCAGCTTCACCCTCCGCCACAGCGATCCTGTCCCTGTCCTGCTCCCTGCCCTACAAAACCCGGGGGACAGATGGAGGCGCAAGGCTGAGACTGCCCAACTCATTGCACGTGTGAAGCAGAGCAACAGCAGCGCAGTCAAGGCCAACACCAAGCAGCGCGTGGCCCTGTCACTGCTCCTGGCTTTATCAGTGGTGACAGTGGAGGAGATGCCGCATCCCCGGCCCCAGGGCTTGCTCGGTGACATGGCGGGGGGGGGGGGGGGGACCCTCAGG